TTAGCCGGCGGATTTTGCTATGTAAAATTCCGTCCCAAGCTGATGTGGGCTTCATACGCGGCTGGGCCTATTAGCCGCGGGCTTAATAGCTGGCGACTACTGTACTATACATTTGCTTCCTTATTAACTAGGTTTCTGACGTCTGACTTCTAAGATCGCTTATATTACGGTCCATTTCATTCTACGCGCTCAGATGAATACGAACCACCCGTGACTGTTACACGAAATCTTGTTTTCTTATAAAGACTGGACCTAATATGGTGCAGTTGCGTGGGTTACTTTCTCAGCAACGTAGTAGCAAAATTTCGAGTTTGATTACTAGATAGGTATTACATAATGCCCACTGTTACGGACGAATAGCGCAACAGATAATCATTGCCGGCAAAGACAAGGAAGACTGAGATGGCTATTTCTTGTCCATTAAGTGTTATCAGCCAATTGTACTCAACCACCGGTTTTGCCCCACTCGAGGCGCTTGCGCGACTGGTGGCAAGGCCCGAGAGTGGGCTTCAAAACATACCGGGACGAGTGCGTTCCGCTAGTGATCGCAGATTGTGCATTAACGAAGAACTACACTTTACTTTTTTGTTTCAAACCTACTTTTGATAGTGAGCTTTCAAACATTCTGAGAGTTGACATTTAAATTGCCTTCCTAATTTATACCTTCCCGAGATGTAATAGTGGTGGACTTTAGGTAACTTAGTCAAAACAAAACACAAGAAACTCAGATTGTATGATGTCGATATAAGTGCAGCACGCGCACAAGAAGATGACTATCTGTGTCAAACTGTCCACCACTTTATTTTTATTTTCAGAAAATACTCTGGATGCTTAAAACTGAATCGGTCTTTATGCTACTGGTAGTTTTTTTAAAGCTGACCTGTTGCTCTGCTTTTTGTTTTAGGTATGGTTTTGACAGTTCGCCCGTGTTATCGTTTTCCGACTTTGAGGCCACATTTGGAGTACCTCCGCTTGGTCAAACAAAAGCGCCTGTCATTATCTCCGGCTTTGGTTATAAGGAGAAACTTTCTGTGGCATTCGTCTTTCGGAAACTGCAAGAGGCTGCAAGGCATCCGAAATTTAATCTGAAGGAACTACTTCCACCGAGTTGTTTTGAGAAGGACGGCCGAATTCTTATGCCACATTTACGCGAACTGATTGCTCGAATTCGAATAGACCTAAATGAGGAGAACTTCCGCCGTCTTTGGGGCCAGTAAGCACGTTCCAGCGGGTTTTATGCGCTACACCTCTCCCCCTTTTTTAGAAAATTCGATCTTATGGGTGTCGGGTCCATTTCGACGAAGCAGTTTCTGGATCAAATGAATCTAAATGAGCAGGGACTTCCTAGTGGCAAGAAAGTTGCCATCAAAGACTACACCTTTCCGGAGCAACACAGACTTCATTATAAAACCTTTAACGGAAATCCGCCTGTGCTGGTAAGTCAACAGGACTGACCTCAATGAAAACGTGCACCCTCGTGTGTTAAAACTGTCCACTGGAAAGGCAACCGAGTGACCTATGAAAGAACACATTTTTACGAAGCTCACTTTTTTACCAGCACCTTTTCTAGACAATACTGAGCGTAATACCTCACTTCATTACAGAAATGTCCTTATATCAGCGTAATGCTCGTCATAAAATAAGCATACGGACAGACTCAGTTTGAGAAGGAATCCTGAGCCTCTGTTAGCGGAAACTATTTGCCTTTACGGGCGGTAAAATTTTTAGCCACTTTCTGGCTGTATACAGTCAGGCATCTGATGAGCGCATATTATTG